ATATACAAAGTTAAACTGCTACATTAATCATTAACCAACCAAACCAACACCCAACAAAGAATCAAAACTGAGCAGCAACATCAACCCATGACTGCCCACATTAAGGACTCATGCACTTCCTTGATGCTGCTGATGAAAACTCTTCAACAGTGTCTTATATCGTTTTATAGCTATAGCGTAGTCCATCGGATGCACCTTCCACTCATAAAAAGAAAAACACATCCATCCACTTTAGTTTTTATCCCAAAAAATGACTTCATTTATACCATATCCACCAAATGTTCCCCCATACTCCTAGAATCATTAAATACACAAGCATTCCTCCAATTGCATAAATACCATGCCACAAGAAGAAAAATACATGCACTTATCTCCTTCCTTATAATACTACCCAAATCATGCAAGAAAAATTTTGCTATTTCTCGAATTGTATTCAACTGCACAGCCTCTATTCCCCAACAATGCAACCCAAACTAACCAAGCTTCCTTGCACAAACAAAATAAATTATTAACCTTCTCCACCACCTCATGACACAAACCACATAATAATTCCTCTTTTTGCAACAACACTCCCCTTTTTTTTTAAAATTCCATTTTTTTGGAAGCCTATCAAGACAAAGCCTCCACCCAAAAAAACCAACTTTTGAAGGCACTACTCGACACCAAATGAGCTTACAAAGTCGAGTATCAAGAAGGCACTCATTAGAAGCTAGAAAATGATAAGCGATCCTAATCTTATATCATCCTCCTGGATCAAGTTTCCAAGTCTAACAATTCCCCCTCCCCTTTTTCAATTCAATACTATCCAACACCCTCCACAAGACCTCCTCCTCATCCTCTTCTTGACCCATCCTCCCTCTTCTCCATGCCATATTCCACCGCCATCTATCCCCTCCCATAGCCCCATCTCACGAATCAAGTCTTCCTTATTCACAGCCAATGCATATAATCTAGGACATAAATTCCTTAAAGATTTATCACCCACCCACTTGTCCCACCAGAATTCCCACCTTACAACCACTCTTCACCTTCCATCGAAACCCTTTCACCAACATATCCGTCAGCCTAACAAATTTCCCACCTAAACTAATAATATCCTTCCACAACTTCAAAACTCTTAAATTTGCAATTACTGTGATATCTGCCTCACATCGACCTTCATAATATTTTTCCCTCACTACCCATTTCTATAAACTCATGACATCATCACCAAATCTAAACCACCACTTCCCTAATAGTGCCCAATTTCTCCTTCTCAAATTTGGCAGCCCTAGACCACCCTTAACTTTACTACCACATACATAATCACATTCAACCCATGAGATGTTCCTATTCCACTTAGCCCCACCCCATAAAACCCCTTTTGAATTTTGACTAGCTCAGAAACCATAGAATTTGGCACGAAAAATAAACATATAAAAAATGGGTAAAGTAGAGAGTATCAAATTTAGCAGAGTGATGCGGCCACAAAAAGACAACCAAGCTGACCTCTAAACGACAAGTTTAGCTCAAAATTTATTAACCACCAGATCCCATAGCTTTTTACGTCCAAATTTAGCCCCGATAGGCAAACCCAAATACAAGAACGGTGCTTTTCTAACACCACACTGCAAAGAACACACCACCCCATTTAACCACCTCGTCGACACATTAAAGCCATAAACATTGCTTTTATTGAAATTAATCCGCAATCTCGACATCAACTTAACCATCTTAACATGGTTTTACCATAAAAATATTCTCCGCATTAGCTTTACCCAAATCACCATATCATTGGCAAATTGAAGTAAGGATACAACTAGATCCTTTTCCCCAATAGCAACATCCCTGAACAACCCTTCCAACTCTGCTTTTTTAAGTATCCCATGTAAACCTTCACCAACCATCAAAAAAAAGAAAAGGAGATAGAGGATCACCTTGCCTTAAACCTTTTCCAACCTCAAACTCTTCAGTCGGACTAGCATTAACTAAAACCGAAACCTTTGCTATCTATAAACACTCTTTAATTCATCCTCACTACCCAAATTCAAAACCAAACCATTCCATCATCCAATCCAAAAATAACCAATCAACAAAATCATAAGCTTTTTCAAAATCTACTTTGAAAACAAAAGCCTACTATTTACTACTCTTCACTACATCCACAACTTTATTCAAAGCTAGAACACCATCCACCAATTGACGACTCTCCAAAAAAGCAAATTGTGTTTCACTAATAATCTCCGACATCACTGATTTAAGTCTATTAGCTAACATCTTTGCCAATAATTTATAGACACACCTGATTAGACTAATACAATGATAATCCTTCAATTCAGTAGGATTATGCTTCTTCAAAATCAAAGTCAAGAGAAAAGAATTTAACCCTTTGACTAACCCACCATTCTAATGAACTTCCTTGAAGAAGCTAACAAAGTCCTCCTTTAAAGTACTCCAAGCAAATTTAATGAGATTGAAATTATATCCATCCAGCCCAGGTGCCTTAGTTCCCTCACAGCATCTTAACCCTTATTCAATCTCTTCAATTGAAAATATTCTTTCCAACCACACTTTCTTCTCCTCAAAAATATGCTCAAAACTTATACTAGCAAGCTTAGGTTTGTTCCATAAATCACCTTCAAACACCTAAAAAAATATTTGGCAACCTCCCTCTTAACCAAATCAAGCTCCTCCACCCACCTACCATCACACATGAGGCCCACAATATTATTTTGAACCCCTTACCATTAGTAACCTTATGAAAAAATCTAGTATTTGCATCACCCAGTTGCACCCAATTGCTTCTCAATTTTTACCTCCATATAGCCTCTCTTTTTCTCAAAATATCCCACATTTCCTGAACTCCTTCTCTTTGACACAACTTGAGCTCTTCCAAATCAAACTCTTCATTCTTCGAGTCTAACTACTCTACCATTTGTCTTGCTTCTTTAAATTTAGGCTCCATATTCCCAAACACTTCCCTATTCCAACCTTTTAAAAATTCCTTTACTAACTTTAACTTTTGTTGACATCTATAACCTGCATATCCTTTGACCACCATCTCTCTCCACTTACCTTCCACTGTTGTTTTAAAATCTGGATGCTGCTGCCATGCATCTAACACTCTGAATGGTTTTGGCCCCTAATTTGCACTACTTGTTTAAGGTAACAACACAATGATCTGATACAGTCCTTTTCATCCTCTTCTGCACCCACTCGTGCCCTATACCATACATCTCCTCCATCATCAAAAATCTATCAAATCGACTTGTAGAAGATCCATCAAGTCGATACCATGTAAACCGTCTATTCACCAATTTGATATCAACTAGTCCCGTTGTTTCAATAAAAGCATTAAACTCCTCAATCTCTAGGCATTCTCATGTTCTTCCTCTCTGTTCTTCAAGACATCTAACTGCATTGAAATCACCTACAATCAACCAATAGCCTCCCTTTTCCATAACCATATTTCCTAACTCCTCTCATTATCCTCACCTTTTTCTACCTATTTTGTGGAGCATATATATTTACAAAATAGCACAATACCTTCTTCGATCCCCAAACCCCTTTAATACCCAAAAAACCATCCCCAGTAAAGTCCCCTAACTTGATAAAATTAACTTTATCCTCGATACAAAACAAACCTCCTAAAGCACCCTACGACTCCTTTATAACCCAATCACAACCATTTAAATACCATAACCCCCTACACAAACTCCCATCTAGCCTTGCAGTTTAGTCTCCTACAAAAACAAACATCTGGTCCCTCTTTCCTCACCACCTTCCCTACCTCTTTCCTCTTCAACAATCCCCTCAATCCCTTAACATTAGAAGACAAGAACTTCAAAATCAAAAGACAAAACACACACAAACCCACCCACTTCACAAACTTCACACATCTCTCCTACACTGCCCCCTCACCTCCTCTTGTTCTTCAACTTGCAACAATCTAGATTGAACTTCCTTTTCATTCCCTTGGATTAGAACACCCAACCTTTTTCTCACACTAATCATCTTTCTCACCTCAAGTAAATTAAGTTCCCTTTATATCACTTGATTTCTATGAGAATGCACCCATTCGAGAGAGAAATGCTTTCACATACCTTAATCGTTGCCTCCTGTTGAGCTTGCTTCCACCTTCTTTGTCGTTACTTGGACCTCATTGTAACCCATGGAGCTTTCTTTTCCTCAATTTCTGTTGATTTTTGTGGATAGCATTCAACAATTTGCTTCTGTCTTCTACCCGTCAATCCCCTGTTTTCTAAAATCTAAACAGGGGTCAATTCTTGTTCTTTTGCTACAGTAGACTGTATGTGGTTATCACCAGTTGCATTCCATTGAACTACCCTTGCAATAAGCCCATCATAGAATCATACTCCTCAGGCCCAACTCGCCTAACCCTCACCAACCCATTACATTTCTTAGGCCCACTACACTCATTGCCATCATCTTCCGTTTCCGAACACCCACTATTATTACCACTTGTTGCACAATTCCTGTGCAAATTTAAATTCCCTT